CTTTGTTCATATGCAGGGAAGAGATTCAGAGGATTAAGGCTAATAATCCAGATATCAGTCACAGGGAAGCATTCAGTACAGCTGCGAAGAACGTAAGTTTTAAACGTTGCCTTGCAAATAATTAATGAATTTGAAATATATATAGATATATGCCTATACATATACATATATAAGCATCTTCTTCTCGTTCGTTCATTCATTCCAATATTGATTAATTAAGTGGCGACTATTTTGTTTTAGTGGGCACACTTCCCTCATATTCATTTTGGGCTGATGTTGGAGACTAACAATCAAGCTAAGGTGGAGAATGTAAGTATATATTAAAAGCAATATATATCTTCTTTTCCTCTTTTCAGTTATATTTATAGATCGATAGTACAGTATAAGGCAATTTCTTAATTCGAAAGAAAACTCAGGTGTAATTCTTAAGCATTCGTTATCAACTCTTTCAATATAATGGAGATATAACCCATGAAAAAAATATTTAGAAAAATTAAATAATGCTATGATGAATTATTAAAAATGTTTATTGTTTCATTCACTTATACTTTTTTCTTTATACACATTATATCAGATTGCACAGCATTATGTAAAGCAAGACGTTAAAAAAGAATCAAAGTCTAAAGAAAGGACTGCAGCACTAATGACTACTTTTAAACTAATGAAACAGTACAGCATGACAAATATATCATCTATTTATATATATTAATTATATTAAATGTATACGGGTGTTGACAAAAATTCATTCAATGCTATTATTTTGAATTATATGTGAGTGTGTGTGTGTGTGCAGGGGACTGAGAAGCATTTAATGACGAGGGCAGCACTTTTGAACAAATGAAAGGAAACGGGCTATTTATAATGTGAAAATCTGAAGATGCATGACGAGATGACTATCAGTTACCTTGAGTGTATCAATTACTAGTAAACAATTATTGTGGTCATCACTTAAAATGTGTTTTTATGAACAATTGGCTCTTTTCCTTTGTATCAGTATCAGTGTACGTACTTGTTGTATCCATCTCTCTCTTACTATATGTTCAGTGGACGTTTTTCACACCTTAGTTTCTTATCTTCTTCAACAACAACTGGTAGATACATACGCATAATAAAAATCCAACATGACAAACACAAACGTAAGCAGTGTGTATTTATTTCGAATTTTATCTGCTATTTTACTTGTCATATAAGAACTCAGGAAGAAATTAAAAGAGACAAGCTCTATATATTTGTAAAACTAACCATGATTTTTTGACATTCATAATATGGATTATAAAAATCAATAGTACCGTTGATGATATTCCTGCTGGAAGAGTTCTTAATAATGACTTTTCTTGGCTTGATTTGGGTGATCATATTAGATATACATCATAGAACATGTAGGAGGTAAAGTTTTACATGAAAATTAAATGTGTATATGTGTAAAATATTAATCCTAATTATGACATACATGTAGCAGTTAAATTTTTCAGGATAATTGTCTACAGCTATTGTATAGCTTACATATATATAGAAAAAATATTATAGCCACCTAGTCACCAGGACAATATTAGCTTAGCTTGCATTGCAATTAATCCTGATATGTGAAGATATTGTATTTTTTGTCTATGATGAAAATGTCACAACATGCTTATTTATATGCTACTTTCGAGGGACTTCAAGTTAATTTTCGGATATATTCCTTTCTGTTTAGGGTACAAATACAAGATATATACGATCGAAAAGTAGGATCATCCACAGTTGATTATAAACTTCCATGACACTATATCTTTCTAAACTATACAGTCGGCACCACCTCAAGCACGTCCTAAATTTGGATGAACATGGGCAAGAAAAATGGGAGACAAATTAAATCATTTGCATGCTCTCACGCACGAACATTTTCTTCAGGCTTAATTAACATATGAAGAATCTTGATTGACTTTTTTAAATTTTAATTGATTACTTGGGCTTGTCCCGCATGGACCTGAAGTTAAACCCGCATCAAAATTAAAACGAGGGATGTGATATCATTCTTTAGCTAGGGCTGAAGATGAATTAACTAATTGTAAGGTTCCTTCTTTGATATTACGATAAATATAATGAGAGCAATAGGGCTTGATGATATGTGTGCATAGAAGGGGAGAGAAGAGGGTAGGACCAGAGGAAGAAAAAGAGGGTTGCTTGTGCCCATAACATAAATTGAAAGAGAGAAAATCTGAGGAAAGATATGGTCAGGCTGATGCAACTGATAAATAATAAAGACGAATGAATGAATGACCTTTTGGTAAAGGGAATTTCTGGACCACCATTTTGGCATTATGGAATCCTCTCTGTTCTCCTTTCTATCTATCTTCTCATCGCATCATCAATTATACTGAACATCCCAAGAATCTCTTCCCCAAAAAAAAAAAAAATCAAACCTCATGTATTCAATCACTTTCTCACCCCACCTTTCAACTTAGTAGTTACAACATTCATTACTATATTCTGACCAACCCACCCAGCTCGCTCTCTCTCTCTCTCTCTCTCTCTCTCTCTCTCTGTGAACAGTCAAAGTTTCCTATAACGGTCTTTACAAGTGCTTCTCTAAATAAAGAAGTGTATCCCTGTCCAGTGTCCACCCACCAAAACAATCCTATCTCACTCGTATTAAATTTGGGTTGTATCATGCACACACACACACACACACATATATTCTTATTTTAAGAACATATCATCAGCAGAAATGATAGTCTGTGATGCCAAAGAGAAAAAATTTTGCGAGCGGAAAACAAGTGAGATCGCTTGATACGTTATATTATATATATATATATATATATATAGTGAGTGCAATATAAAACTAGGAAGTAGCGGCTGTCGGGATTCTCAAGAGGGATAGTGGCAACAAATTTATGTTGCTTGAAATATTATATATGCGTATATTTTCCGCGCAGAACAGTGAGTATATCGAAATGTGGGGATGGGAGAATGGAGAAAAGGAAAAAGAAGGGAAAGGGTAAGGAGGGGAGAGAGAGTACGTATGACTGCAATTCTGGGCGTATTGGCGCAGTGTGTATAGGCTGCTCATTCTGACAATTAGAATCTGAAACGTCAATATCACAGTTTGTACGTTTTGTGCATTTCACTTTTTTTCATTGTCATTTCACCCCCCAAAAAAAAAATCTCTCTCTCTCTCTCTCTCTCTCTGAACTCTTTATACTTCAAAAATACCCCCAACTTCCTCCGTATCAAACTCTCCTTGCCTTCCTCTCTCCCTCTCTCTCTATTCATTCTCCTTGTAACTCTCACCAGCATCATTCCTCTAGCCTTTCTAATTTCCATCTTTTTTTCCTTTTTCTCATATCCCTAGTATTAAACATGAGCAACCTTTATCAATTTCCATAGCACATTGTAGACGGTTTAAAATCGAAATATCTTTATAGGACCGTGTTAATAAATCTCTTCCCTCCACTTACTGGAGGCCATGAACCTTATTTTTATAGAATGCAGCCACCACCCTCTCAAACAGGATTACAAAGATAATCATTCACACCAGTATATTTCTTATGGAGCATATATTTCAAGGAGCGAATTGAACTCTCTTCACCTCAAATATTATGAATCTCTATGTCTAATCCCGGAACTCGTAAACTCAAATGAATCTGATCCCGTTTTAATTTCCAGCCAAGAGAACATTAAATGTTGACCCAATTGGCTGAAGCAAGTGTACGTTTGTGAATAATTTGAAGATCATACCTGATAGAACCAAGTAGGCAAGTGTTGGAACATGTAATAAATGAGTTGAAGCAAATTCAGAAGAGGTGATTGTGATAGCGCTGACTGGGTAGCAGCATGTTAGTGAAGGAAAAGTGATCAAATATAGGTGGGGACCGAGTGAGAGGGAGGGGTGAAAAGGATGGAGCAGATAAGTGTCGTGAAAAACTATAGCAGCACGTGATGGTGATTCCTGAGGGCAAAGGAGCGGCAAGGCAAGGCAAGGCAAGTCATGTATTATCCAAATTACTGCTTTTTGTGAAGGCCATAGCACCTGCGTGGCACTCTCGCGTCTCGTGAGGAAGAGGACCACAACGTCCCAGAGGAATTCCCGCTACCATGCCATGCCTCAACTTGCTCAATCCTTCCAATCAACCCACACTCATTTCCTTGCATTGGATTCTTCTTCCTATCCTTCTTCTCACTCATTGCCTGCTTCCCCCATCTTTCTTGGGAGCTCAACATTACAACACAGCACGACAGCCGCGGGCGAGACTCTTCTCTATGGAGCCCACTTGCGATGAAACTCTATATAGTATATACATAAATTAATAACTCTTGTTCCTAAGTGAGACTGAGAACGCAGAGCTTACCTCGGACATGGATCACCCCGGGTTCTACACATCTAATACCAACTGTTCTCCAGTTTTCGTAATAATTTACCCCATGTAATGCTGCGGGAGACAGGACGGGGGGAAAGGGATATGTATAAATAAATAAATAAATAAATCTGACTCCATATGCTCCTCTTTGCTAATGCCTCTCCGATCCAGCACTACTGTGGAAGATCCAAGCTACTAATTTCCAACACCTTAATGAATGAGGTTACCAACACTACTGACATCCACAGTGAGCTTGAACCTAATGTTGATAAGGAGCGTTGTTAAGGATAGAGCAAGCTTAGAGTAGTTTGTTCGGTCCGAGGAGACACATGAGTACGGTTGCCTAGGCTTTTATACTTTCGTAGAAGCTGACCCTCGGGTTAAAATTTCATGCCATTCACGAAAATTCAATTAAAGCTCAGAACGATGTGCCTATATGCACTTTTTGTAAGCCCCAGTCAGCTGGCTCGTTCCTGAAGGCATAAGCCAAGTTCTCTATTCTGATGTTTTCTTCTCTGTTCTGACTGGGCCACACAAATATAACGAACTACATGACTTGCAATGGTTTTTTAGGTGGATAAACTGCTTTGGAATCCTAGGTCAAAATCCGAGGTCCCTGATACAAATTTGCAGGCAGGTCAGGTTCGTGTCGCAAGACAAAAATACTTCTACCGACGTAATAAGAAATCACCTGCTTATCAATATTTTACATTTTAGTCTTCCAACAAGCCCAGCAGGTCAGTGGAAAAGACAATAGACAGACTCAATTGTAACCCTTCAAAAAGGCTTAATTTTTAATTCACTCGTATCTTCAGTCGAAAAACAAAAGCAAGAGTGCCTGTACAAACAGCTAAGAGGATGGGCAACAAGAGTATTAAAAAAAAAGCAAAGAAAGAAAGAAAAGAAAAGAAAGCCTATTAGCCTGAGGGAAAAAATAGATCGGAAAACTTATGAAACCTAAATTCCCCTGTTTCAGCAGACGGCATTCGTACCAAACGAGCTAAATGAAAGCCTAGACTTATCATTGGACCCAAAGCTGAACTTTATGTCACCAGCGTCATTCTGAACAGCAGTACTGCTTGTAGAAGGGAAAGAGAACACTAGAGCTGGACTTGATCTTTTGGATCCAAAACTATATGAAGGTTCAGTAGCAATTTCTTTTGATTGGCGGTCACCGCCAGTGGAGAACGATGGCACGATGGATGGTGTAGGTGGCTCGGAGAATACAGAAGAGGCAGCAGAAACCGGGAAGGTAAATCCTGAGCTTCTATCAGATGCCAAGGTCCACTTTGGCTCAGGCTTGTTGATGTTAATAGATGGTAATACCGGTTTTCCAATTGAGTAGTTGGACAGAGGTATCTTCTCTTGAATTTTCACACTAGGCTGATTAACAGATGAGACAATCTTCGATGCATCCTGCACAAAGATTAATAAATCTATAGAAAAAATGTGATGTCTTTTCAAAAGTAAATCAAGGCACAACAAGAATCATCTTCAATAAATTGAAAACCATAAAGTAACAATTTCCATGCCCATTGGAAAAAAAAATATTGAAAATGTCATAATACAAATAAGAAGTTTCCATGCCCGTCAGATGATTGAGTACCTCTTCAGTAGATTTCATTGGAAAATTTCGGGCGCCATTAGTATTTTGCAAGGACCTTGCATCACTTCCAATTTTCAGGAAGCTACTGCCAACGTTGATTCCAGATGGCAAAGATGTTGCATTGTTGACATTGATAGATTTATCAGCACTCAAACTATCAACATGGGAGCTCCCTTGAATTTCATTTAGAGTGGATTTCTTTCCATCATACCCATCATATTTATATGAATTGGCATCTTTTAATTTCAGAAAGCCATTATTTTCATTTGACAAGACACCATTGGCATTAACAGAAGACTCGGGATTCTTCCATTTAGTGGCCAGATTCAGCTCTGCAGATTTCTGTTGAGGAGTGGGAGGATTTCTATCAATATGCTCCAATATTCTCCTAGCCATCAAACTGGTATGCATGTGCACTGTTGGAAGAGCAACCCCACTACCCTGTGGCTTGTTATCTAATGAGTGGAATTTATGAGTGTCGCCAGTCTTGTCAGGTTCCAAATTCTTTGTAAAAGCAGGCAAGAAACCTTCATGAACATCTGAACTTTCCCTCCTGGCCGGGCCATTCAGAGGTGAAGGTGTGTAAGCTGGCCTTCTTGAAGAAGATTGTGCACCAGCCTTGTGCCTAATTCGACGGATGGGTCCAACAGATCCATAACCACCCTCAAATGCATCAACTCTAGATTTATCCTGCATAACGTAGTTAAGCAAACTATCTGACATACAATAAACTGAAAACAAAATAAAAAATTAACAAAAACGCAAAAAGTTCAGTCAGAGATATGAAACTCTGTCATACACTCCCAAACGACGAAAGGGGATGTCAGTAAAGCCCACTTGCATGTTCATTGTATTTGATAGGTTAGAATGGCTTTAAACTTAGCATGTGACAACATTCCAATTTCTCATGCTAACTTATATTATCAGAATTTAACATGTTAAATGAAAACAGAAAAGAGTCTCATTTCCTATTCAGCATTAAGAATTACGCCAGTTTATACTTCAAAAGATCACCAAGACAAATAAGAACCTATAGCCTCAACATGATATACGTTTTTAATAATAGAAGAGAATAGAATAGATGTAGAAAGAGAATAGGAGGAGAGAAGAACAGATGAAGGTTTAGAGTAGATGAGAGACGAGAGGGTGGAGAGGAAGAGAGAAAAGAGAGGTGAGAACTTTATGAATAATACCGAAGTCTATTGATCCACACACCAATACAATGAAACATAAAAGTATTTATATAATTGTTGAATTCACCCAACGGCTAGTAACCAACGGTTATAACTAACTAATAAAATATCAAAGTTACAAAAACATAACAATACCCCCCTCCCAAAAGACCTTTGCCCCCAAAGGTCATGCTGAAATATTGGGGAAAAAAACATTAAACTCTTAAAAGCTACTGTCATTGCTCTCTGTCACTGTTAACTGCGACTGTACACTGCTGAATAAATGGAAATAATGAGTTGAGCCCAAAAGCATTTTTAGTCAACCTCCTCTGTACCATAGAACAACAAATAAGTGGGCAGGGAAGAGCTGAAGACAAAGAAAAGCCCAACAAGATAGATTTTTCAATGGGTTGATTGTAACATCTTTGAGTGACATTGGGCCCAAGCAATTATCCCAATTCAGAAGCTGGTTCAGGTTCAGTAAGGATGAAAGGTCCAGCTTATGTGTCTGAAGCTTCCACCTACATGGCAGAATAGCTTTTGACTTTTTAGGACCTAGCCGCATGACAATCTGAACAGAAAAATCAGGGAGTAGTTCCTTTTTTTTTTCTTGAAACTTGAACCCATGTATTGACTATCGGTGTTAGCTGCCATCCACTAAAACTACACCCACTTGAAATGAAAGACAGCTGTCTTTGACCCATGCTCCCATGTGTGCAGACCCCAAAAAAAACCCACTGAAGCTTACTCTCACATGCCCTCCCTGCTGTGAAAAGTTCACCCAGGTTCTGTAGCTGTGAGAAGTCTAGAGTCTTTAAATGGGTACGGGTAAGACAAACACACGTTGATAAGAAGACAAAAAGGGGTGGTGATGATGGAGCAAATAGCCATGAAGCATTTGAAGTTACAGAATCGACTGCAATGGAGAAACCAGCAAAGACAGCAACGATGACACCCAAGGAACAAAGGACAGCAATGGAGAAGTTTGTGGTGGCGGCAGAAAAACGTAAATAGGTAACGATGGGTTGATCAGAAACAAAGATGAAGAGAAAGTTGGAACAGAGTGTGGCGAAGGCTCAAGTGGCCAACATTGATGTTTCGAACAGTGTTTGGTACCCAAACTAAAGTCTAGACTGACGGTTTTACCCACACCAACAGCTAAAGAGCTTAAGGAGTCATGTTTAGAGATGATTGAGCCTACTTTACTCTACAACTCGCACAAAGAAACCTTCTTGAATCACTGCAATCATCTTGCAGTTCTTGCCTTGTTATAGTTACGGAATCCTTTGAATGCCATTCTTGGCTTGCTGATTCCCACAATCTTGTAGAGGTGTACCTACTTCATCCTTCTCCAAAAACTCTTGTGATCGATAATTATCTTGAAGTGCCTGTGCCTTCTTTTTTATCTGACGCATTAGCATGATTTCTTGCATTCTTGCAAGACTTCTAGCTTCTTGCATCGTTCTTGGTTTGAAGAGACGCACTGGTTCTACAAGTTCTGGTTTAAGCCCAGCCATATACGCAAAAACCAAATATTTTTCTTGTAATTTTAACTTGCTGGTGTGGCTATCAAAGAATTCATTGAATTCTTTCACACTCCCCTGCTGACGAAGCCACAGCTAGTGGTCATCCTCATATTCTTGGAATGAATGGTGTGCCATGGCCAAGGATGACCGGCTCTGATACCATTGATATACATTTGTAATAATAGAAGGGAATAGAATAGATGTAGAAAGAGAATAGGAGGAGAGAAGAACAGATGAAGGTTTAAAGAAAATGAGAGACGAGGGTGAAGAGGAAGAGAGAAAAGAGAGGCAAGAACTTACTAAATAATACTGAAGTCTATTGATCACACACCAATACAATGAAACATAAAAGTATCTATATAACCGCTAAATTCACCCAACGGCTGATAACCAACGGTTATAACTGACTAATAAAATGTCAAAGTTACAAAAACGTAACACAACATGTAAGATAACATTTTTTTTTTTGGTTCTTTTTCCCCCTTTTGTTCCTTTCTATTTTTTGGTGAAGGGATAACAAAGTTTTTCCTTGTCATTGAAAAATTAAAATCTTGAATTTGTTCATATTCCGACACATCAAATAAACCAGAAAACGAACAAAAATCCAAATAGAGTCTGGTTTAAAAATCCTTCAATTAACAAAAGAAACATCCCTATTTAAAGACAATCAAGAAATAATTGGTAAACCAAAAGATACCTGCAGATACAAAGTAGTCTGTGATTGATGGAGGGGAGTTGATGACATATGACTGTTATTGCCTTGCATTTGAATTGACTGGACAAACAAAACAAAATCATAATTCCATAAACAGAAAATCTTTGAAGCATCAAAGTAAAAGGTGTAAAAGGTAAAGTTCTTCAAACAAAACGTACCCTGGACTTGGATTTTGATAAAATTGTTCTAGAATAAGGCGTTCTGGGGAAGTTATGAAGGCCATATCCCCTACTTTGGCTTAATGGTGTTGTGTAAGAATCTTGCACCATGACACCTGGCCAACATGCTGACGTCTTTGGTGAAAGTGATGGAACATATGGCTTTATAGCAGCTTCATTACCATGTAGCATGCCGCTTTCAACAGTGTGGACTGTGCTCTTAGAACTGGGGCCTACTTCAAATGCACGGGAACCCATATAAGCCTTTGCAATCTCAACTGGTGAGGCACCAATATCATCTTGGACCTGAAAGTCATTTATATGATTATAATATAAACTCAATGATTAGGGCCATCTGCATTAGAACTCAATGAGTCCCAAGAAAAAATAATAGTTTTATGGTAGTATTAAACTTACACATCTGCAGCTTTTCTCTCTCTAATAAAAACTACTTAATAGGATGGTAAATCATTTCTGAGTCACAGTGGAAAAGTGTGACAAACAAGCAATCCATATCTACCCTATTTTCAAGTACTTTAGTAGTAAAACATGAACAAAATGCTCAGTTTGTCTCAAGCATCACCTAGATAGACCATGGAAGAATGTATTAATGGGATAGGGACAATGCACAGTGTTTTGAATCGCATGCTATCTAGTGGACAAAATAATATTTATGGAGGCAATCACTGCAACAAACCCCAGAATAGAAGTCCAAGGTTCTGTGCTTGTCAATATTCGAGGGCAGTTACCAGTAGTTTGAAAACAAAAGTGCAGTTGAACCATTAATAAAAAAACAAATTGAAGATAATTTTTCTTTTAGACAAAGATATTGATCTTCCAGCAAATGTCAATTATTTATAAAGACAAGTTGCAGTACCCACCTTTGACCGATCAAGACGTGTTGAGCTTCCCCATAAAGCTCCAGTCAAGTCTTCGTGTTTTTGTTCATTTGATATGTTTGGATCATCATGTGACACAACAATTCCTTTGTTGTCATTTCTAACAGTTAGGCTAGCGTTTTCCTCTCCTTGTACAACATTAGGAAGCTCACTTGCCCTCAAATTTATTATCTCCATCAAATGGTGAACCTCGTCTCTGCATCAGAAGGACAAAGTTTTAGGCATGATCATGATTTAGGAATCATTATAACAAATTAGTAACACTTCTCAAAGGTTTGATAAAGCCATAAATTCAAAACTTCTCCAAAAAAGAAACCTAGACTAACATGCAAGCATATTGAAATGGCATCAATTCCTAACATGGTGGTGTCAATTAAAAAAATAAAAAGAATTAGAGCAATGGAAACTTTTTTTGCCAACAGCAAAATAAAGAATATAAGGACGCTTAAAGAGGGTTTAACTATGAGCAAAAGTAGGATTTGAAATTCCAAGATTCCTCAAGTAATATCTAAGCCTTTGGGATGAATAATTAGATCTAAAGTGTGATTGCCAGGACAAATTTCTGAAACTAGCAATCCAACCAACATAAATAAATACTACTATATCAATTAAGTTGTACCTCGAAAATCTTTTCCCTTTTACCAGTTGCTCAATTTCAGATAGCTTGTTGTTTTCAGATTGCTCTCCTTTTTCATCCTGTTTATGCAGAACCAAATCACAACTGCTGCTCAGTTTATTATATCTTTCACCAGTACTTTCTGTTTCAGCTGATTTGGATGTCCCATCCTGCAAAAGACTTAGCATACTCACGAAAAATGTAAGGGGCTAAGGAAAAGCTTCCAAACTCAGTATGATCCTTGCCTTGTGCAGGAGGGAAAAAAAGGTAGAGAGGGGCAGCACAGATGTGATAAAAAGAACTTTGTTGATCATCGAACAACTTCCAAAAGACGGAGATTTCAGACAAATTCATATGAAGATATAAAAACATTAATGTGAAGGGGGAAGAAAAGGGGGGAAATCTGGACAAAACACACAAATCTATAATGAGAAGACCAAAATAATTAATGACCAGTCACAATGACAGAAATGAACAAGGCTGAGCCAAGGAGCCTCAAGAGCTAGATTTTTTTACTCATTTTTTTTATTTCTTTTTCACTTCTAAATGTAATCTCCTTGTAGTAGCTTCAATTATCTTAAGTCTTAAAGCTAAAATAATAGCCAGAAAAGCAAAGCCGTTTTTTAACATTACATGTAGCATCAGTAAATCTTGAGAGTTGAATATAACTGGGAACTTCTGCCAAGTAGCTTTCCACATTTTCAACCTGAAAATCCTTAGAAGATTTACTCAATTTGAAAACAGGATTTCGTTGTATTGCAATGACATCCAAGCAACTATCATTTCATTAAGTATTGACTTCAAGATTCAACCCAAAAAATTTTTCCCATGGCAAACATGGAATTCTATAATGAGCAAAGGTCACTAATCATCAAAATTAGAGACAAGATTATTAAGCATAATTATATTGAGGAGACATAAATCCCCACAGGGATTGCATTTTATCTTACAAAATATAGCAAAGAATATACCAAAATGAATCTGCCCCAAACCATGTTAAGATGCGTACACAAGGAAGTCATACACAGGTGTATAGAGCAAGAGAACAAAGATAGTGGAATGCAAAAATTGAGAAGCAATATGTTTTTCTAGTTTCACATGAAGCATAAACATAGAAGATAAGGCCAACTTCTTACATGTAAATCACCTTCCTGTCTGTCATCCCTTTGAGTTTCTTCACCTGTCAGCCATTTACCTATAACAGATGAACAACTTCATTAGAAAAATGTCTGCAATGAATCAATGAATAATATAGGCCAATTGACATGAATGGTGGTCATAGTATTTGCTATGCCCCTAGAAGCTTTCACATTATCTACAAGCTACATGCAAAGGAGCACCAAATTATAATCAAAGGCATAGATGTACCAGATGATTTTACAATCACTCTGGAAACAGAAATGATGAAGATATTTTGCCTAGGACATCAAAAGCAGTAGCTTGAGGCAAACTTCAGGTCTATATCTCTTATAACTTATCAAACATTTTCTTCACTTAAAAGGGAAAAATCAGTGCCATGAATTTCAAGCCACCACCATCACCAATTCCATTCAAATACAGAACATCAAAGCAGTCATAAAATTATTATTTCCCCTAGAGCTCCATATTTGATGTTATGCAAATCCACATGAAGTCCTAGGCCAGAGATACATACCAAAATTATAAAACTTTGTATTGGGGACTAAACCATAAATAGGTCTATTAGCAAAGTTTACTCTGCCACATATAAAGACATTGAAGATATTTAGTGCCAAGATCTTAACTGCAATCACTAAACAAGTACTCCAGCTCCTAAGAACATTGGATGCACCCACTCCAAATTTATTTATTTCTTAAAATAATAACAATTTCATCTCCTAATAATTATAACACTTTCAGCCATTCGTATTCTTATTCTATACGGAAAACACTACCTCCTTCACAACCAAGAATACAAAAATCACTGTCAGTTCATGCTCATAATGATGTTGGCTAGTAATGAAGGAATAACCCACTTCTTACCCTCCACATGCTTTTCCCCTTTTCCATATAAGTAAACTGTGATAGAAAGAAGTCTCTAACTTGGAAATTTAAAAGCAAATCAGCTCTTGAATCTTAATAATTTGAAACTAAAATCGGCATGAATTGACTCCAAATCCAAACACTTTGCTTATGTTGAGCCAACGAGCTTTGACATGACCATGCCACTATCAGCCATGAGTAAAGACATCTAAGATCCATATGTATAACGAAAGTCATAAAATTTGGCATAGAACCATTCAAGGAACAGGAAAAAAAACCAAGAGGAGAGGATACCATGACACAAGTGAAGCAATGTTACTCTAAGCAGCAGGATCCACAAGGCTCCTTGTCTGGCATTTACAGTCATTACTCATTATTCAATTGATAAAATTGGCAATAATTTAAGGGGGAAAATGTTCATCAACAGTCACAGTCTATGCTTCCGGCATGACAAAGAAATGACTCTCTAAAATGGTGCTCTTATGCGTGTTCTTCCAATATGTTCTGCCATCAAGATTTATGACATAAATGCTTCTACACCAATATTTCTATTTTCACGTCCATTTCTAATTTCCATTAAGCATTCCAGTTCAATGAAAGGGATAAGCGGTAGCCATAAAGATTACAATAACAGAACGCATGCTCGTGTCTGATTTAGAAGGCAAGCTTTATTTTAAGATAGGTCCAGCGTGTTGGGTGTCCTTCTGTAATCGACAGTATTCAGCCATATTTTTCATTGATACAGTTTTGACAAGCTAGTACTGCCAGCCAGCATGATAGGCATATAAAAATTAACTTTTGGAACTTCGCCATAAGCTCAATTGAAAATAGGATAAAGTTTGACAAGATACATCATTAAGGGAACGAAGACGAGTGTATGCATCCGAGAAAACATTCTCGTGCAAGAAGCAAAACTACCAACAGTATTTTAAAACCGGGGGATCCCGAAAGGCCAGTCCCCGTACTTGACAAATTAATATCAGTCACCAAAAGAACAAGCACGAGAATGGCAAACAGACGAAAAGGATAGTAAAGGAATGGCAAATAAAACGTTAGAAGACCTTGATCCCCGTCGGCACGAGTAGGGCCAGGAAGAGCAGGGGCGACGGAGGTTTTGGAGAAGAAGGAAGGGAAAATCCGCGTGGCTTGGCCAGCAATGAGACGGCAAGCAGGATCCATGAGCCTCGAAATCCAACGGCGCCGAGAGGTTTCCGGCGGCCGCGAATAAGGAGTTGCGGGGGGTTTCCTCGGCAGCAATCTCTTCACCTTGCCCCCAGCACCTCGCTCTTGTTCTTCTTGTCCTCCTTCATGGGTACCCAGCGGAGTGATTTCATCCCTCGCCATCTCTCCCTCTCTCTGTGGGTATCGGAGATTTGGAGGGAGAGAGGATTTGCAGCAAAGTAGAAAGGAAAATCGGTCGGTGAGGGAGTGAGAGTGAAGGTTAATGCGGCGGCATATGATCGAGTTGCCGCGAGGCGCAGGGCGTGTCAGGCACTGGGGTTCATGAATGATGGGTCCCATCTGATTGGAAATTACATTTCGGGATTCCACGAAGGGCGTCGGGTCCCACAAAAGGACTCTCCAAAATTTGCGTGAACACAAAAATTCATTTAATTATAAAATGATAGTAATAAATTTATATCAGAAGTTTATATTACCTTGATGCCTTGACTCTAACCCGTTTTACACCATATTTTCATATCATTTTCACAAGGGCTGGACTTTAAGATTTGATAAAAAAATGATATGTAGGGTTCTTAGGCTTGAGTTTTTTGGGTTGAGTCCATTAGGATTTAACCTTGAAAGGTTTAGGCCAGCCTTTTTTTTTAATTTCCTTTTTTAAAAAAATTAAATAAGACTAATTTTAAAATAAAATAAAATCACTTAATTTCATGGTTTAAATTTGTAGTGCATTTTAAGATGTAAGTTTGATTGATATTATTTGAAAAATATTTTTTGTTTGATGTGATTAAATTTCTTAATTTTTTACATGATCATAGGAACTTAAATTTGAAATGTCAAATTTATAGTGTTTGTATTGTATTTGTTATTTAGATTTTAAAGAATTACAATTTGGACTTCAGATATTATAACTTATATTTGTATTTATTAATTTTATGTTTGAAGGAAAAAAAATGTTGTTTTAAAGAAAGAGATAGAAACGGGTTTACAGGCGCCCTTATAAATGATGCTTCAGCTGTGAAGCACGCTAGAAAAGTGTTTCTAGATATGCATGAGATATGTAGCCGTGGTCAGAGAAGCAGTGTGATCTTTTATCAATGTGTGTGTGTGTGGGGATGTGAATGATAGTTTTTAAATAGGAGGCGGCTATGATCTCGGCGGCGTGGCGTCCCCAGAAAGCTCGTGGAAAGGGAAGAGGAATTCAAAGTGGGTAGCTTGCAGAGCAGGTTAATGGAGGATGGCATGGCATGGTTAGGATATTTGTATGTGTGGGTTGGCAATGGCGTGGGAGACAGGACTGGAGGTTCACGGAGTAAGGCGGAGACAAGGTTTGTGGATTCTACAGCTGGGCTCAACCTGTGTTGCTCTCTCCTCTGAAAGCCTTTGCCTGTCCTACACAAACAATGAGCCCTCGCCTCTATACACTTTTTGTGCTTTGTTCTTAACTTAATTGAGGAGGATGCTGATTCCTCCCCTCTATAGTTCCCAATAAAATTTAAAGCCTGTCTGAGTAGTCCCCCCCCCCCCCTTTTTTTTTATAACAGCCTGTCTGAATAGTGAATATTCTTCTTTACTCCTAGTTACTTTCAACATTTTATCAAAATCAAGAAAAACCATAATTCTCATTAATTGTCTCTAAAAACTGAGCAATTTTTAACTCTATCCCTATTATACTAGTTTAAAAATAAAATACTCTAACATTTAATTAAATTTTCAACATTTAATAGAGACTAAATGATAAAAATGAACGTACTAATCATTAAAATATCTTATAAATAGAATCAAAAATAATACTCTCTATCTTATAAGTAAGACAGGAGAAGAACTAACTTAAGCTGCTATTGCAGATCGCAAAAGTTCCAGTGTTAACTATTTGTCCAATCAAACAGCAGTAGTTTCTTCTCATTATACAATGCGTTAAAATGCCCAAAAGGTCTTTGGGCCAAGACTCTGAGAAATGGCCCAAAAGGTCTAATGCTGAATGCAAACAGCGCCAAGGAGAAAGTGAAAAGACGAGTCGGACTTCGCAACTTCATTCCCCCCAACTTGCCAACATGTAAACTCAACTGTCACCATCCTAACCATTTTCAAAACCGGAGTGCCAATGGTTCCATTCCTTGTACAAGGTGCACGTATGTGTACCAAAACCCAATAATTCATTCATTCCCACAAAGTATTAAAACCAACAGATTCCACTTGCAAAATAACAAAAGCTCGTGAATTGGCACTAAAACAATTACACGGCAGTTTGATGGTTGATAGCGTTTGCAGAGAAAATATTTGCATTTCCCCCGACACTCCTACAATATTGTAGCTCTACTCCACAAAATATATGTAATCACTGGTATCAATCCAACATCGCTTCGCATGTTTAATCTATACTTAAGTTAGAACTAAATAAATCATCCCTTGGATGTGTGCGTTTGAGCAAGAATTTAGAACTATATGAAGCTTTTCGAAATACATGCATCAGCGGATGAATCAGAAGGACAAGGTAAAGAGAAGGCCTGCCACTTTTTTCATTATTAATCGAAAATCGACCTTTCGTGCAACCATATACTGAACTGAACGAAAAACCGTTACATCTTATTTGGTCGGCCAAAAATTACAGGGTTAAGGTAATATAGACAAAGTGAGGTAGTCGTATGGTATTAACTACAAAGACATGCAACTTAAGAAGCAGCAGCCAAGGGAGCTCTATGGAGAAAACAGGAGTTTTTTCAGAACCACCTTCTACCACTACTTCATCCTCTTCTTCTGCATCCCAAAGGAAATGAGCGTAGGATGCTAGAACATAACTGCATTCACGAAGAAAAGCTCGGGTTAATTCACAGAATGACATAAGCTATTGAGCAATAGTTTATTCACAGCATCCTTTGCAAATTAGATAATTTACTATCCAAGGTTACTCCAATAACATTATCGAACAGAAGTTTGTGTTTATGATATATATGTGTGGGAAAAAACTCAACCAGTAAAAAAAAAAAAAAAAAGCAACCGCGGATGATTCTTACCAGTCATCTGGAGCAGCTTTGACTGCTTGATCATAATAAGTTTCAGCTCTTGAAGCATCCTTTTGACCTTCCCAAATCAACTCTGCATACATGGATAGTACGTTTGCATCACCTGGGTTTGCCAAAATTGCTCTGCTACAATACTCTTCTGCTTTAACATAGTCTGCACGAACCTGTCACCATAACAAATCAACATGGTAAGATCAAACTATGCGGATTGCAGCACGAGGCATTGAGATATATGGACTACAGCTAAGGAAGAAGAACAAACATGAGAGGTGATTCAATATTCAAATCTTTAACCCGGCCTCGTGCGTAGTATATTACACACAAAAAATAATAAAACTGAAGCTTTGAAGCGCTAGAAAGTTACAGCTTTTTCAGCAGTAAAGTTTTGTGAAAAGCTAGGACTAAATAGCAACGATGTGATGAGAATTTATCTCACTTCGGAAAAATTTCAGGGTATACAAAGAAAGATCCTTTTTCATCATAAAATTATTTCATCAGAACTGGAGAACTTAATCACCGAATAGGCAGAAGAATACACGACGAGCAATTACCAATGAATTGTGGTTGAAAAGAGGACAGAACAAGGCAGCTTAAACTTCTCCTTCAGTATTTTATTAAAAAAACAGAAAATTATACTGATTAACCTCAAGCAGCAAATAGAAATATCATACAGGAGACCAAAAACAAAGCCAACAGAAACTTCACTCACCTCTTTCAAGTACTTTGCGTAGTTGCTAAGAAGAAGCGGATTCCCTGGATTTGCTTCGATCATTGTCTGGTAATACATGTCAACGCTATCGTTGCCATGATTCGAATCCCAGAACCCCGAACGCCCATCTTCTGTGTCGTCCGATCCACCGCCTCCGCGTCCACGACCAGTCCTTCCATCACCACCACCAATCTCGCCTCCAACTAAAACACTCATCGTGTCATCATCCATGGGACCAACCCCACACTCCTCGTCCAACTCAGAAAACGAAAACAGTCCACGACCAAACGACGCCGTTCTGGAATATGCCCTAAACCCTTTCTCCACCTTGCTCTCCTCCTCGTCTTCAACCGGGAGCCCACCAAAGAGCTGGGTGAACGGTTTCTTCTTGGGCACAGACAGGTCCCGCAGATCTGTCTCGGACAGCGCCCGCGTCATTTTATTCGCGGAATCGTCCATCCAAGATAAGGAGCTCGACGAGGCCGACAATGTAATCGAGCGATTTCTCGGAATCTGATGAACTATTTCCGGTTCGGGGGACGAATCCTTGAAGTGAGGATGCCATGAGTTGAGAACCGGCGTCGATGAGCTACGGAGCAGCATCGTCGTCCTCTACGAAATACGGGATCTGATTCCACTGAATACCTAAAATTTCAAGATTTAGGCGGAAATTAGGGGAATGCTAACCCCACTTTCACCTAGAAACCTATTCTAGAATTAGGAACTGGAGTACCGAGGGAAAAGGCCGCGATCTAGTTTTATACTGGGAGAGATGGTGGCTCCGCCAATCGATCTCAGCCGTCGATTCTTCATGAAGCGGACACGTTGAATTCTGTAGCGAGTCCCACGGCCGCAGGAGACTCAAACGAAGGGAAGTTCATAAGTCAAGAGGTTTTTTCACCAAGCAAACTAATTTTTGAGAATGAATTTTCTCTTTAACTTTATATTCATTACATAGCCTCTTAATTGGAATTGATAGAAGGCTGGGTAAAGGTCATAAATTAAAATTATCGAAGATGTTATCTATTGAAAAGTTGACATTGAAACAAGTTTCATATCAAAAAATTTTGGAATGGTTTTTTTTTTTCTTTATACTCGTTACATTTACAACAAGTCTCACGTCAGAGGGTTTTGAGATTAGCTTGTACTCATTACATTTATAACAAATCTCACATCAAAAAATTTTATAACTAAAGTGAAATTTAAAAATTTAAGAGGCTCACTCTTAAATATTATATAATAAGTTAGTCTTATAAATTAATTTTTTTTTAAATTTATGCTTGTTACACCTCTCAAAAGAGAGGCGAGTATCAAAAAGGATTATTTATAAAAAATTTTAGTAGATAAAAAATCCAATGAAGTGCCACAGGATGGCATTATAAGTTTGTAACAAGTTTTATATTAAAGAACTCATAAGGAAAATAAAATTTATAAATTTAAGGGATTATCATGAATAGAGCTAAGAGATTCTCTCACCAGCAAACCAATCTTTTACCGAAGCTCTGAGCACCACTGGCTGCTAATTCTCCCACTCAGTTAGTGTTCACACGTCGTCTCTTTACAGACCAAACGTCGATTCTCTTCTCTCTCTTCCCTGACATCAACGCGGGAGAGAAATTGTTCATGTGATGTGGCCCCACCGAAACCGTTAGATTTTAGACACGGAAGGAGTTGACGGTCCTGATACATACCCTCACGTGATTTTCCTCCACGTAGGTGGTCTACAACTCCACCTCATTCACGAACAAATGGAGCAGTTAGGCCTGATAATGAAACAGTGAAGAATCATGATGTTTATAGGGGATTTTGGTTTGTTAAGTTAAAAGCACATGAAGTTGCGTGATATTAACGAAGTTGCCATCGCAGCCTCAGAATGTTAGAGTTGGGCTGGAGCGGGCCGCAGTAAGTTACAGCGGAGCAAAAAGACTGATGATTTCACTCTCCAGTGGGGCCCCGGGCTCGATTCAACGGTGAGGCAGTGAGCCTGCGCGTCGTGGTCACGGGGTCCAGGAATGGCTATTCCTGGCTCTGCCCCTCTGAGGAGATTATCGTGGGGACCCACACCGATTTGTGTCGTGCAGCGGCCCAACTCGGACGCCAAGGGCCGTTTTGTCATGATTTCAGGCGCCTCTCTCGCGGAGAAACAACCAGATATTTTTGTTATCTGTTAAATTGTTTATACTTTATATCGTAGCCTTTCTTGTTTAGGAAATGATCCTTCCCATCGTACGGCAGGTGCCCATGTTCGCGTGAGATTTTTTTTTTAATAATACTTTTCTCACGTTCTGCCTGCCGAGATTTTTGTTCAATTATTTAGACCAATTTGTATACTCAGCCACTACGATTTATTCCATAGATGCAATTATTTGCTTCCTGACTTGAAAAATGCTCTCTTCATCTTACATTTTTTTAAAAAAAAATTTATCTCAAAATAAAAATTACTTCAGATAAATTGAGGTTTCATTAAGTATATTAATTTTGATATTATTTTTTTATATAATTAATTTCATCCCTTATCTTTTTAATATATTAAATTATTAGTATTTTTAAAAATTTATATTTTTATTTTGAAAAGATAAGTTTAAAAAATATTCATCTAATCATATTTATAAGTCACTTCTAACATGTTTTATTAATACTAAAAAAATTTTTAAAATTCATTAGCTCTGTCTTAAAATTTAATAAGTTTTTAATTTTACTTTTATTGAATATACATATTTTAGTATTAAATTTTTTCTCTTCAACATTCAATGGAAGGTTAAAAAAATATTTATGATAAAAATTTAATAATGTAATTTATAAATAAAATTAAAAAAATTATTCTCTTTCTGTTCTATAAATAAAATTAGGAAAAATATTTTATAATTTAAATAAAAGGAGTAATAAATTTTTTATTTCTAATCATTGGCATCATTTGCACCTTAAATTCGGAATACAACGCAAACGCATGTGTATTTGTGAACATACATGAGAGATGGAACCCGGAAAGTGTTTGGCACGGGAATAGATCTCTGTTTTTCTACCATCTGTTTTCTTTTTGTTTTTTATTCATGATCAATCATTGACTCTATGATTTTAAAAAACGTGGAACGAAAGTAGTTATAACTAAGGTTTTAAAAACTTGACCGATTATTAAATAGATAAGGTATTAGTTTATAGTTTATTGGTCCAATCGTGATCTAATTAGGGTCAAATCGGTTGAGATTAAATTAATATATTTTTAATTTGTATATCATAATTAAATAAGAAATACATTTAAATATGCATTTTTTTCAAAAATATATTATAGATGTTTGGTAATATAATTTATTATTGATAAATACATAATTAATATTAATTATAAGTGAAGCTTTTCATTTAAATATCAAGAAAGATGTATTTTAATTTTAATTTTAATTTTTTTTATTTTTTTAAATTTTGTCTGGTTTTGTTCATGAGAACTGGTCTGATTTTTGTCCAGTTTTATCGATTTTTAACCTATTTTACCGATTGTTGACTAATTCTTTACTGATCGATTTTTAGGGGTCAACCGAATCAGACTAAGAGCTGGTTTTCAGTTCAACCAATTAAACTGGCCAGTTCGATCCGATTTTTAAAACCTTGGTTGTAACAAATGGAGACGTCCCTCCCTTGTTTGGCACCCCCTTCTTAGTAAATTATGAATTTTTTGGTGCTCACAAAAAAACACTACTCCGGCCAAAAACATTAGAGAAAATTTTAGTCAGTCTCCTTAATCTAACATGACTTCAGTCAACCCTTAAAGAAAAAACAGAATTTCATTATATGTTTGAAGGATTGAAATAAAATTTAAAACCTAATTTAAACGATCTTATTATTTCTAGTGAAGCTAAAAGTATGAATAACTCATGTTAGAAAAATGAACAACTGATATTTAAAAAATGAGCAACTAACATGGGTGAGCGAGACTGCGAGAGTTGCAAATGTATAATGGTGTTATGCTATTGAAAGTTACAAATTTCACCAATGTTAATTGTTTATTTTTCATTCATTAGTTTTTTATTTTCTCTACACAAGTTATTCATGTGTCTAATATTACTAAGGACAATAATATTATTTGAGTCACTTCTTTAATTTCATTTCAATCCTTCAAATGTGCAATGAAATTTTAGAGTCTTAGAGGGTTGACTGAAATTATGTTGGATTAAGAGACTGATTGAAATTTTCCCAAAACATTTTGGCAATTACATATTTTATAAGTTTAAAATTAAATAAAAATATAATCTTTAGTCCCTATAATTTTATTGAGTTTTACATGTAATCCTAATAGTTTTTCAGTGTTTTCAATCCCTATAAAGATTAAAACTATTAAAAAAATAAAAATTATAGGGATCTAGAAAATAAAAAGTTATCCAATTTTTTCAAAAATATAAGAATTAAAAATATTAAAAAAATACAGGAACCAAAAATAAAACTCAATGAAATTAGGAAGGCCAAAAATTATGTTTTTTTCTAAAATTAATAGAGTATATTATTATTTCAGAAAAGTCATTGAATGATTCGGCGTTTTGAGGAGATGGTTGGATTGCTAGTCCATTTTGCCTGGCAGCACAGAGTGCATTAAATGGTTGAAGAGGAAAGATTCCACCACACTTGACTCCTTGTGCTTCAGTGCTTTCAAAGGGGGGCTAGCAATTTTAATGACAACTATCAAAGAAAAAGATGTTTGTTTTTTTTTAAGGGCTCAATTATATTTTTGTTCTTAAAATATTTTTTAAAGCACTGGTATCATCGACTAGCAAAAGGAGATAGGTGGTTTCTTTTTTCCATTTACAGTTAATTTAAAAATAGAGAAATGACAACAAAAATTTTAAAACATGCAAATGATAATTGCATACCGTAAAATGTGATAGTTATTACTTAGTTTATAGGGACTTATCTGGTATTTTGATTTTTGATGAACTAAAATGACTATTTTTGCTGGGTTATTAGCTAAAATAAAATAAAAAATTACTTCTTCACTTATGCAACTCTATTGGTAAATCGAACATGATTGAAATAGTTTTTTTTTTTTAAATAAACCAGTTATTCTCTAATCCATTCATAAATCCCAACTTTGCATCAATGAAGTTCTGGTTTTTTATTTCATTTTAGTCAATAGCCTAACTAAAGTAATTATTTTACCAACATATAATGGTCACAATACTTGCATTTGATTGATAAATAAATTTGTAGTAAGATAGTAGCCATTTTTTATTCTGTTTTAATCATTAATTGAATAAAAATAGTTATTTTTCAATATACAAAAATCACCTAAAACAAATATATCATTTCATCATAAATTAAAATGTGAGACAAGTCACTCAGACAAGTCCTTAAAAATTAGACAATGCAGTAATTATCACATTTAATGATTTTTAATTTTATCGACAGTCACGACTGTTTGTTGGGCGCCCAATAAACAATCATCATTGTTTTTGTCTATCTATTTTATTCTGAAAGAGGCCAAAATTAATAAATATAATTTAAAATTTTTATCACTATTTTCTACTTGCTGTACTAATTGCCTAACATGAACATGAGCTACTCAAATTTCTATTGGGTTGCGTATTAAGCCTTGAAATCTAATTCATCTATTTAAAAAAATTGATAAAAATTTAAACAAGTTAGATTCCAAAAGCTCATAAAAGTTGAAACGTATCTCTAAATTTTAAAAAATACTTACGCTCGTTAATAAAATCCTCACATGAATAATAAGATTTAAATTCATAACCTTGTAAGTTATTACTTAAATCCTTATCAATTGAAGTAATTTTTGTTGGTCTAATTTGTCTAATTTTATTACACTCTTGTATAATTTTAACTCTCCCAGAAGAATCATGGCAAATGTCATTGTTTCAAAGATTGTCATGGTTCACTGACAAAACCATGGCAGCCGCCGTGGTTTTTAAA